AGGAGAGGGGGGGGATGCCCGCGCCGGCGAGGTCGACCCCGGCGCGGCGGCTGAGCCCCCGCTCGAGATGGATGCAAGGGGTAAGGGAGTTGATGCAGAAAGTCCATGTCAATTTGGGACATCCCCGTGCTCCTCTGTTCCTTCGGATCCTTCGAGCAGCTCATGCCAAGAAGGAAGTCTTGGCTTATGTTAGGTCCGAGGGCGCGTGTCCCGATTGCGCTGCTCGCCCCCGCTCGGCGTCAAGAAGGCGCGTGGCCATGCCGCGCGCGTTCCAATTCAATCGAGTGGTCGCCGTGGACACATTATTTGTGTCTTTTGACGGCCGTTCGATACCCTTCATCAACTGTGTCGACCATGGCACCAACTATCAAGCTGTCGCCAGATGAGGGGGGGCGGCCGAGGCGTGGGCGTGTTTTGCCCCATTTTGGCTTCGATACTTCGGACTTCCTGAGCTCCTGGTCGGCGACGGCGGACCGGAGTTCCAACGGGAGTTCTCCCGAGGCATGGGGCAGCGCGGAGAGCATCAGCACGCAGTCAGTGCCGAAGCGCCATGGGAGAACGGGCGTTGCGAGGGACACGGGGGGGGGGGGGGGGGGGGGGGGGAGGGGGGGGGGGGGGGTCTCGTGGTCACGGGGGCTGAAGAATCCATGATTGCGACTGAAACGGATCTTGAGACTCTGGTCTGGCTTGCGAGGTCCTTGCGGGCAAGAACAACTACCTCCATCGGGGAGGCTTTTCTCCGAACAAATTCGTTTTCGGTCGCAACCCCCGAATGCCGCGTGACATTTTATCTGACGACGGCGTGAATCACGTAGGACTGGACGACCTTGCCGAGAGCTATTGGGATCAGGACACAGCGGCTGCCGATTTCGCGAAATCCATGTCGATCAGAAGGTCTGCCCACTCGCGATCTCCGAGAGCTCCAGTGAGAATCGCCTCCGCGAAGCAGCTAAGGCCCCCCAGCACCGCGATCAAAAATATGCGCCAGGCGACTGGGTGCACGCATGGAGGCGCGCTCCCAAGAACGGAAAACATACGGCCTCCAGCGCGACCGCTGCGCAGGACCAGGCATGGCATTATACCCATTCATCAATACTGCATGGGCGAGTATGAGGTCGATGCTTTGGAAACGCGCGCCCGAACAACTGCGGCCTGCAACGGGCCCAGAAGCCCGGGGAACCGAGCACTTGAGCGATCCGGGGGTGGCCGACTTAGGCAGAATAGTCCAGTCGGGGCCCCGACGAGTCGGGGTGGGAACGGCCCGAGGGGGGCCGCGGCGCGCCGCCCCCAGAAGCCGGGGGGGCCCCGGTGGAGCCAGACGTTCGGGATTCCAGTATAAGGCTGCCCGCGGTGCCCTCTGCCAGGCAGCTCCCTCTGACAGCGGCCCCTGGACAATTCTCTGGCGGGGGTGGTCAGCCAGGCGCGGGGCGACAACTTCGCGACGGCGGGCCCGACGCGCGGCCGCGGCAGGGTGCGGCCCCGGCTGCTCCGTCCGAGGGGTTCCGCGTTTCGGGGGGTCTGGGGTCCGCCGCCCTTCCCCGGAGTCCTGTGTCCCGGGGCCCAACGTCCAGGGATCTCCCCGAGGTTTCCGGGGCCGCTACTCCCCTAGGATATGTTCTTCCTCGAGAGGCGCCGCCGGCGACAGGCAGTGGCGTCTCTCCGAGGACAGGGGAAGGAATAGAGTCAGCTCAGATAGTTCGGGAATCTCAGCGAGCCGTTACTTTGAACGAGCAGCTCGACTTGGGGGCCGCTCGTGCTGCTAGGAGAAGAGCCGAGTTTGATCGATCGGCTCATGCAGGAACTCGGGACCAAAGACTCACTCGGTGCAGGGGCCGTCTGGACAGACTCCCCTTCTCCATCGAGCAGGGCCCAGGGCGCGCAGGGGGAGTCCGTGGAGTCGCGGCCGCTTTCGACGGGGCCTCCTGAGAGGCCGCCAGGGGCCGGTCCAGGAGCCCGGGGGCGGTCCCAGTGCCAGGCGACGTAATTCCCGGGGAGGCCTTGGAAGACGACTCTGGTCTGTCCCTTTTCTCTCTCTCGTCGCCAGAGCTGGACTCGTATTTTGATTATGCGAGCAAGGGCCTGCAGGGCCGCGTTTGGAGTGGTGACTGGGCCGTTCAAATAGCCGGAGACGCTGATATCGAGCTGGTCCCAGGAGAAGGGAAGGAGGCTGCTTGCACTCTCACTCGTGCTACCTCTAGAGGGGGGGAAATCTCTCTCAATAAACTGTCGGAGAGCGAGGCCCAGGAGTTTGCCAAGTCGGACGCAGCCGAACGGGGAAGCACCACTGGAACCAGGGCTGTTCGAGTCCATCCCCCGGGCGAGGGGGGGCGCCTCAGGCAGGCTTCTCCGTCGCGGGTCGTTTCTTCACGGATGGTCAGGCGGTGGAACCCCCAAGAGGGGGTCTTTGCTCGACCAAAGGCCAAGTCCAGATGGTGCGTCAGAGGGCATGAAGATGCCGATGCCCATGAGCTGCGCATTTATGCACCTACGCCACATATGGAGGCCCCGGTGCACTTTCTAGCTGCCCCCATTGCCCTCGGCCGCGATCTCATGATCGGGGGCCTCAACAACGCGTTCTGCCAGTCGGGCCCGTTGCGACGACCTCGTGGTCGAGTGTTTGTGGGGCCCTGTGAAGGGTTGAAATTATGTTCAGGCAGTTTAATAGAACTAATAGCACCGATGCACGGCCTGGACGATGCACCGCTAGCGTTGCATCACGCTGCCGTGCGATTCTTCGAGAGCCTAGGATATGTGAAGACTCTTCTGGAACCCTGTTGGATGTAAAATGTAAAACGTGGTCAGGGTGTTCCCGACGCTATGGTGCTCATAGAAGTAGATGATTGGGTTATATCCACGGCTGCGGGGGTGCAACAGGGCCAGCTAGAGTTGTTCAAGACGATTTACGCTCGGAAAGCTACGAACCGTAGACGGCACGGGGGTCGAGTATATTGGGCGTAGGATCCGACGGCTGCGCGATCGTGCGTTGGGAGACATAGAGAAATAAATACTCGAGAATTTGAGATGTTTGCACGTGCCACGTGAGCAACGGTCAAGACACTAGCTCCCGCTCTTAGGCCAGCAGGTCAATGAGTTCAGACATCTTACATATCGTGTGAACTGGGTGGGAAGGGACGCGCGACCCGAGGCCAGCGGGGCCGCATCTCTGCTAGCTAGTAAAGTAAATTGTCCTACCGTGGGAGACGCCCTTGTAGCGAACAAGCTGGTTGATTACTTGCGCAGTTCGGCCAGCCTTCCAATCGCGATTTGGAAGCACCGGATCGGGAAGACTCTGTTTGCGACGGCGTTCGACTGGCGGCGTGGGGGCCAGTTGAGGAGAAAGACCTCAACATGCATGGCAGCGCTACCTAGCGGACGACACCATAGCATCCGGGGGGAGAGCCAGAGTTTCGCCACTCGTCGCGGCGATCGTGCAAGATTCGCATCGATCTTAGCCAGAGAGGTCCAATCCTTGAGCGCCGCTCTAGCGGAGGCGGAGTGGATGCAGCTCTTGTGGCAAGACGCAGCGTTCGCAACCGTCATCGATGAATGCTCGCAGAACAAGGTGGGCCCCTTTGCATCTTTGCTTCGGAAAGACTGCACCCTGCACGCCGATCCCGACAACAACATAGCCACTGTCGACGCCAAGGGCATATTTGACATTCTGGACTGGGACACGGGAGGGTCCAAGAACGACCGCAGGGTTGCCATATATTTATCCGTGTGCCGGGAAAGTCTAGCACGTCTTGGGGGTTTATACGATGGCTGCCGCATCCGTTTATGCCAGTGGATGCGATGACGAAGGCAGATGTGAGTAAGGGGAACGCTGCCCAGCTCCAGCTTCTCAAGACCGGCATGATGAAGCTCACTGCGCAACAGGACTCCCTTTCTCAGAGGCGCCAGGATCCGTCCACCAAGGCCAGGTCCAGAGCAGCGTCGTCTCGTCAACTTTCGTCGTCGTCGCCGTCGATGTTGCGACCGAGCGAAGGGAGGGAAGGGACTTACTTTTTAAACCTTGACCGCCTCTCTAGAGGTTTTTTTTTTGTTTTTGTTTTTTTTTGTTTCTCTCTCTCTCTTTTTTTTTTTTTTCTCTCTCTCTCTCTCTCTCTCTCTCTCTCCTGACTGCCTCGCAGGAGGCAGTGCAGGCGCGCTCTTGTCTACAGGCCGGAGTCTTTGTCATGTGGTCTTGTATATTTTAAGCTCACCAAAATTGGGCCGAGTGTGGAATTCACATGTATGAGCTTAAACTAGTTGTTATGTACATGATGTCCGTAATCATGTTGGCTTTGGGCACCTTCTGCACACTCTGTCTTGCTATCGCCCTTTGCAAAACACTGTTGCTTGGTGTTGCTGCCGACGTCGGCGTGTCAGCTCCAGCGGCTTCGGCGGTGGCCTCCGGAGACCTTCGGAGACCTGCAGGGCTCTGTCGACGGGCCCCGGCTGATCTGGGCAGCGGGGGCGCCTGCCGGCGAGCGCCTGGTGTATGGGGGTCGCGCTTGGCGCTGAGGAGGGTGCCAGTCGGAGTCGTCGGGGACGACGCCGTTGTCGCCGCCACAACCGCCCCCGCCGCTGCCGCCGTCGCGTCGTCGTTATCGTCGTCGTGGTTGCCATCGCCGTCGTCGGCATCGACGCCGCTGCCGCCGCCGCAGCAGCCGCCACCGCTGCCGCCGCCGCAGCCGCCGCCGCCGCCGCCGCCGCCGTCGTCGTCGTCGTCGTCGTCGTCGTCGTCTTCGTCGTCGTCGTCGTCGCGGTCGGCGCCGTCGCGGTAGTTTTTGCAAGGGTTTCCGTCGCCATTGCCGTGTACGGCTCGCTTGTTGGGACCCTTGGTTGCTTCCAGCGACCCAGTCCCCTGGGCGAGCCTGACAGGCATCGCCCTGCAGCGCGAGGATGGCCTCGCCCTCCACACCGCCCTCCGAACCCACGGCCGCTGCAGGGCGGGCTCGTCCCCGTGCCCTCACTGCGTTGACAGGTGTCTCGTCCGGCCCCTGCCCGCTGCCCAGGAGAGGCCGCCTGGGGAGTTCCGCTGCGGGCGCCGCGTGCAGGAACGGTCCCCCGGGGCGCTCCACGAAGCGCTCGGCATGCGTCCGCACCTGCATCTACACGATGTCGGAGGTTACCGGAGGCGTTCGAGGATCGAAGAATTCGCGGCGGAGGTTTTTCTACAATTTCAGGCTCCAGAGGTTTGTGTCGTGCCCCAGTTTGCGTCAGGCATCGATCCAGGATGAATGCCAGGATGGACCTCGGGAGGGGTCTGCTTTTAAGCTGCCTTGATCAGTCTACACGTTTGGTAAGTCAAAAAGTGTGGCGGGCTGTTTTTGTTGCCCTCTGGAGGGTCAGGCCATCAGGTGTTGGAGCAGGGGGAGAGGAGGAGGGGGGGACGAGGATGTGGATGGAGCCCAGGAAAGGAAGAGGAGGAGGAGGAGGAGGAGGAGGAGGAGGAGGAGGAGGAGGTGGTTGATGTAGTGGGTTGAGGAATTAGAATGCAGAGGGGTCGGAGGACTGGAAGGGCCAGAGGAAGGGTGAGAAGGGGGACGGGGAAAGGAGGAGAGGAGCAGGACGAGGAGCGGAGAAGGAGGACAACGAGGAGGGGGGGAGAGGGCAGCAGTAGGGTGCAGGTGTGCCTTCCCGATTCCGGCCGCCAGAGGTCCCGCCGCCAGCCTGGAGCCCGCGGCGGCGGCGCGAGGCGCCGCGCGGGGCCACGGCGGCTGGCGCCCGCTGGTCGCGCGCAGGCCTGTCGGTGCACGAGGAGGAGGGCGGGTGAGAATCGGGGGTTGCTAAAGGTGCTCCTTGCTGAAGTCGGGGGCGGCCAAGAGGGGGGTGATGATTAGGGGGGAGGGATATCATGGCGTGGGCCATGATATGTCCTCAGATTTCATGGCGCTTGTTCTTATTGTATTACGTCTCTGCACCCCCCCTGGGCCGCGCACATGCCGCTGGCCATGATTTGCGCCCCCCCTCTTGGACGCCCCCCTCTTGGCCGCCCCCGGTCAAGGTGCCCCGAGCTTTTCGTTCATTTGTTTGCCCCTGGGGCCCCCTGGGACTCGTGAGGGGTGCTGGAGGCCGTGGGGGCCTCCTTGGACATTCCTAAGGCACCTTGGGCCAGGGGCACTTCTAGCAAGACCCGAGGAGGGGGGGGTTCGGCTACGTGTAAGAGTGACCTTTCGGCTGCAGTGACCTTTGGTGCGGGCTCACCAAGGGGCACCTGATGGCCGACCGCGAGGCGGCCGTGGCGTGTTGCGCGCCTGGACTTGGGCCACCTTGCGCTCCCTGTACCCGCGCACGCAAGGTCACTCTTGCCTAGGGTCACTCCTGCGTGTAGCCGAGGGGAGGAGGGCAGGCTAGGTGCGCAAGGATAATATCTGACGTCCTACCCCTCGCTCCCAACCCTTACCATTGCGTAGATCTCCTTTCCGTTCGCAGAGTCGGATGTCGAACAGGGCGATGATCCCGAGAGGGTACGCGAGGCATGGCATAGTAGTATGTTACGCATGGCCTGGCCTCGAGAACGCGACTCATTTCGACAACAAGGTCAGAGGGATACCAGAAATTACACAGGACGGGACATTCAAATGGACGGTTTGGAAAGCGCGAAGCGCAACATGAGATCAGCGCTGCAGCGGGAACGCGATTTCGAAGGACCGAAACCTGCATTGGGAGCACGATTTGGCAGAACCGAAACAATGGAATGAGGTCAGCGCTACAGCGGGAACATGATTTGAAGGGACGGAACAGGAACATTGAGCCAGCGCTGTATCGGGAGCGCCATTCTGAAAAGAACTGAAACTCCCCGAACGCGTTTCGCTACTCGCAAAGTGCCTACTCGCACATGTCAGGAACAAAAACAGGGAGTATCAATGTGGTGGCATCATGTGTGTAAACAATAAATCATTACGCGGTGGAGAGAGAGAAGAGTAGTACGTGTGGATGGAACGCATGAAGCGAGAGAGAAAGAGAGAGAGAGAGAGAGAGATGGGAGCGCGGGCCGCACAACGTTGTGGCTCAAGCTTTTCCGAGGCCGCTCAGGAGTCCTTGCATGTGGGTTCAGGCCATCGAGTGGCCTCCGTGCCTGCAGTGTCCCGACGCTGCCCGCCCAGCAGTGCCCAGGCGTACCGGCGCCGGCAGTGCCTGAGCGAGCGGCCATCGACGCGGACGTCGCATTCGGCTCGAGCTCGCTGCTGCTGGTCGCCTGCTTGCTGGTCATGGCCAGCCTCCTCTGCCTTGCGGCGGCGATCGTGGCTGTCTGGGGGTGCCGGCCTCTGGCCAGACATAAGGCCAGACAGGTCGCCACCTTTTTTTGGCGGGCCTTTCGCAGGCCAGCGACAGGGAAGCGGACGTGGGCCAGTTGGCTCAGGAACAACCGACCCTGATCCGACAGAGGCGAGTCAGCTAACGCGATGGATGCAGCTATACCGCCACCTGCACAAGGATGGGGAATTCAAGCAGGTGGCTTTTGTGCTGTTCAGTGCAGTGTGCCAGGGCCGCCCATTTTCCATGAACGGTTCGTTATCATCGAACCGGGGGCGGGCTCAACCGTGAGCGTGCTCACCTGGCGGGGACAACTACGAGGAGGACTGGCTGCACGGGCTCGACATCATTTGGTTCGTCTTGATGGATGGAGGAGCCTGTGGTGAAACGCCACCGCCAGGCCCTGACGGCGCCGTGCTGCCAGTCTACAGGTTCCAGAGCGTGCCGACCTCCGTCTTTCAAGCAGCCGCGGCGTAGTTGCATTTCGACGAAGTCTGCCCGTGCCCGCCGACGGCCGGCAAACCTATTTTTGGTGGGCGGGTGATGGTGGCGGCGCCCGCTGCCGGCGCAGGCGGCTCAGCTCCGCTTGCGGCCGGAAGATAACCACGCGTCGGCAGAGGCGTTGGCGCGCTGGCCGCTGCTTTTCGGCCGGCCCCGGGCGGTGCAGCTTGCGCTGCAAGGGTTTGCCCCGCGGCGGGGGCCGCCGCAGCCGCAGCCGCGCCGGGCGCGGCGGCAGGCGCCCCGCCGCTCGGCGTCGTGAAGCCGCCAGTGGTGGGCGTTGGTGGTGTGCTGGTGCCCGCGGGCGTGGTTGGCGGCGCTGCCCCTGTCGCGGTGGCTGCCTTCCAGACGATCGACATCCGCGCGCAGCCCATACAACACGACGCCTCTGGCCGTCGGTTCCGCGAGCTCCGCCTGGCCGTCGAGGGGATGATGGAGACGCCAGTCAACGCGGTCCCCGTTCGATGGCCCCGTACGACGCGATGGCTTCGCCGCGAAGGCTGACGCGACATTGCAGGCCAACGGCGGGGCGGTTGGAGAACCGTATCACGTGCTGCCAGGTGTCGGGGAGCACCTGTTGACCAATTGAACCTCCACGACAATACGGGCGCATAGGTCATGTCTCGAGCGGTCCAGTTGTCCGAGGGAGGGTATCGTGACAGGATGCCACGTATCTCGGGCGGAGGCGGAGATTCCGCGTAGGACGCATTCCTGCACGTGGGCCTTGACCGCGTTAGGGGCACAGTCGCAGTCGCGGCAAAGCTGGGCGTCGGCCGAGCTGCAGATGGAAGTTTCGGTGATGATATGGGAGGGGGAAGGCCCGCGAGGAGAGGGCCAGCGCCAAGACGAAGGGCTCGACGGGCAACCCCAAGATGGACGGCAGGGGTGACGGCTAACCCTCCACGGGCGGCGGAGTCTGGCCGGCCGCAGTCCAATCGGCAGCTCATGCGCGAGCCCGCATTCTGTGCATCTCTCTCTCTCTCTCTCTCTCTCCCTCTCTCTCTTTCTTTTTTTTCTCTCTCCCTCTCTCTCTCTCTCTCTTTATTTATCTCTCTCTCTCTCTCGTTCTCTCTCTCTCTCTCTCTCTCTTTCTCTTTCTCTTTCCTCTTTCTCTCTCTCTCTCCTCTATTCTCTCCTTCTCTCTCTCTCTCTCTCTCTCCTCTCTCTCCTCTCTCTCCTCTCTCTCTTTCTCTTTTTGTTCCTCTCTCTCTCTCTCTGCTCTCTCTCTCTTCTCTCATCTCCTCGCTCTCTCTGTTTTTTTTTTTCTCTCTCTCTCTCTTCTCTCCTCTATCCTCTCTCTCTCTCTCTCTCTCCTCCTCCTTCCTCCTCCTCCTCCTCCTCCTCCTCCTCCTCCTCCTCCTCCTCCTCCTCTCCTCCTCCTCCTCCTCCCTCCTCTCTTTCTCTCTCTCTCTCTCTCTCTCTCTCTCTCTCTCTCTCTCTCTCTCTTTCTCTCCCTCTCTCGCCCCCTCCTGGCCCAGCGCCCTCCCCCGCCTTCCCCGGCCTCGCGCGCGAGCCAGATGGGACTTCCCAAGGCGAGCGCGGCGGGGTCATTCCGCCCGCGCTTCGCTTCCACCCAGTCTCGCGCCTCCGCCTGGCCGGGCGTCTCGAGCGGAACGCGAGCGCGACATCTTCTCTTCTTCTTTTGGCTGAGGAGGTGGGGCAGCGGCAGCAAGTTCGGCCCCCGCGTCGGAGCGCGCAGCGCAGACGTCGACGGGCCCAGCGCGAACGGGATGGGGCTAACGACGGTATCCTCGGCGGTCTGCGTTCCACGTCGGGGGAAGCCTCGGCGACTTCAAATGCTGGGCGAAAAGACGCTTTCAAACAGACTCGCCATTGCTATGCTGATACGTCTGCCCCCCCGCCCGACCTGGCGCCCAGCGCGGGGCCCGCTCGCGAGATCCGCGCGGCGGCTGGACTCTACGGCGGCGGGGCGGGGCCCACTGGGGGGCCGTGCAACCGAGCCCTGCTCGCCCTGCCCGACCTGGTGGGCGCCGCGTGCGCGGCGACCGCGCTGGCTCAGGGGGATTCTAAGTGGCTGCGCGATTCTCAAGTGAATTTGCTCGGGGATATCAGCGAGGCTGCCCTTCGTCGGAACTGGGTCCGAGTGGGCCACGAGTCGACCTCTTTTTCTTCCCCTCTTCGATCGCGGGATGTTCGAGTGGGCCCTGGCCACCGGCGAGCCCCGCTCCATCGGCGCGATCTTCGCTGCGGACAAGATGGGGGGGGAGTGATCCTCGACACCTCAGGCTTGTAACTGCTCTTTCAAGGATCCGCTCTCCATTCGCCAACGCAGTGCTCCGTCGCTCAGTCAGATTGAGACCGACGTCGCGGCCCACGTGATATCAATGTCGATTTCGACAGGATGGGCCCGCCACCAATCCACGGGCGCCACTTCCGGTCGCCACCCTTGGCATCTAGGAATACGTGGCTCAAGTTTGCAAGCGGCCAGGCTCTGCGCGTTTCCTCGTGGGTTGGTCGCGGTCACTACTGCAATGTCAAGGCGTCGCCCGTCGCCCAACTGCGCCGGTCAATATCTTTGCGCCAAATGCCGTCTTGGATGGGTTGCCAGCCGCGATGGTGGAGGGGGGGGGGGGGCGCGGCCGCGGCGGGATATGCCGATGGCGCCCTAACTGTCGGGAGGGGCAGAACACGCGCGGACTCACTACTGGGGGGTGGGCGCGCTCTGGGGCGCCGAGGTCGTTTCCTTCGCGAGGTGGAGGGCGGCTTGCGAGACCTGGGTTCCTTAGGCATCGAACCTTCTGGGCGCGGCGAGCTCTCGGTGAAGCGCCGCAGCTCGCGGCGAAAGCGCCTTGCTATAGAAGCGCTTCTTCGGCTGCGCCGCTGCGGCGGGCGCCTGCTCAGAGCTCTCTCCGGGCCTTTTTACCTGGGCGGGGCCCATCTGGCGCGGGGCGCGCAGCACGTCGCAGCGCAGCTATGCTTTCGCCGCGAAAGACGGCCCGACTATCGCGGAGATCTGGCCCGCTGC